ACAGACACCATACCTACCTATTATGGCATTTCCGTAGCCATTCTGAGATATATTTCCATGCAACTTTCCACCGTTCCGTTTATTATGACACGCTCCATCATTGTCATATTGCTTTGCATGATCATGTAGTTGACATCGTATTATTGGCAAAGCCACCATTCATAATTTTTTCATACATGTCACTCTTGATTCGTTGCACATACGGGTACTCCGCCGGAGGCATTCACATAGAGTCATATTTTGTTCTAAGCATTGAGTTGTAAGTAAATAGAAGTGTGATGATCTTCATTATTACAACATTATCCCATGTGAGGAAAGGATGATGGAGACTATGACTCCCCCACAAGTCAGGATGAGACTCCGGACAAAAAATAAAAAAATAAAATAAAAAATAGGCCATAAAAAAGGGAAGGCCCAAATGAAAAAAAAATGAGAGAAAAAGAGAGAAGGGACAATGTAACTATCCTTTTTACACACTTGTGCTTCAAAGTAGCACCATGATCTTCATGGTAGAGAGTCTCCTATGTTGTCACTTTCATATATAGAACTTGGCTTGTATATTCCAATGATGGGCTTCCTCAAAATGCCCTAGGTCATCGTGAGCAAGCAAGTTGGATGCACACCCACTTAGTTTCTTTCTGAGCTTTAATACACTTATAGCTCTAGTGCATCCATTGCATGGAAATCCCTACTCACTGACATTGATATCTATTGATGGGCATCTCCATAGCCCGTTGATATGCCTAGTTGATGTGACACTATCTTCTCCTTTTTGTCTTCTCCACAACCACCATTCTATTCCACCTATAGTGCTATATCCATGGCTCACGCTCATGTATTGTGTGAAGATTGAAAAAGTTTGAGAACATCAAAAGTATCAAACAATTTCTTGGCTTGTCATCCGGGTTGTTCATGATTTAAATATTTTGTGTGACGAAGATAAAGCATAGCCAGACTATATGATTTTGTAGGGATAGCTTTCTTTGGCCATGTTATTTTGAGAAGACATGATTGCTTTGTTAGTATGCTTGAAGTATTATTATTTTTATGTCAAATATTAAACTTTTGTCTTGAATCTTTCGGATCTGAACATTCATGCCACAGTAAATAAAACTACATGGATAAATATGTTAGGTAGCATTCCACATCAAAAATTCTGTTTTTATCATTTACCTACTCGAGGACAAGCACGAATTAAGCTTGGGGATGCTTGATACGTCTCCAATGTATCTATAATTTTTTATTGTTCCATGCTATTATATTATCTGTTTTGGATGTTTAATAGGCATTTATATGCTATTTTATATTATTTTTGGGACTAACCTATTAACCGAGGGCCCAGTGCTAGTTTTTGTTTTTGCCTATTTTAGAGTTTTGCAGAAAAGGAATACCAAACGGATGAAACCTTCGCGATGATCTTTCTTGGACCGAAAGCAAATCAAAAGACTTGGACATGAAGTCGGAGACCCAACGAGGAAGCCACAAGGCAAGAGGGCGCCCCCACCCTCGTGGGCCCCTCGTGGCTCCCCTGACCTATTTCCTTCGCCTATATATACTCTTATACCCTGAAAACATCCAAGAGAGCCACGAAACCACTTTTCCACAGCCGCAACCTTCTGTACCCATGAGATCCCATCTAGGGACCTTTTTCGGTGTCCTGCCGGAGGGGGATTCGATCACGGAGGGCTCTACATCAACACCATTAGCTCTCTGATGAAGCGTGGGTAGTTTACCATAGACCTTCGGGTCCATAGTTATTAGCTAGTTGGCTTCTTCTCTCTCTTTGATTCTCAATACCATGTTTTCCTCGATGTTCTTGGAGATCTATTTGATGTAATATTCTTTTGCGGTGTGTTTGCCGAGATCCAATGAATTGTGGATTTATGATCAAGATTATCTATGAATATTATTTGGTTCTTCTCTGAATTCTTATATGCATGATTTGATATCTTTGCAAGTCTCTTCGAATTATTGGTTTAGTTTGGCCTACTAGATTGATCTTTCTTGCAATGGGAGAAGTACTTAGCTTTGGGTTCAATCTTGCGGTGTCCTTTCCTAGTGACAGTTGGGGCAGCAAGGCACGTATTGTATTTTTGCCATCGAGGATAAAAAGATGGGGTTTTCATCATATTGCTTGAGTTAATTCCTCTGCATCATGTCATCTTGCTTAATGCGTTACTCCGTTCTTTACAAACTTAATATTTTAGATGCATGCTGGATAGCGGTCAATGTGTGGAGTAATAGTAGTAGATGCGGGCAGGAGTCGGTCTACTTGACACGGACGTGATGCATATGTTCATGATCATTGCCTTAGATATCGTCATAACTATGTGCTTTTCTATAAATTGCTCGACAGTAATTCATTCACCCACCGTAATATTTGCTATCTTGAGAGAAGCCACTATTGAAACCTATGGCCCCCGGGTCTCTTTTCCATTATATTGAATCTCGTTTACATCTTGCTAGTTTCCGATCTACTATTTTGCAATCTTTACTTTCCAATCTATAAACCAAAAATACCAAAAAATATTTACTTTACCGTTTATCTATCTCTATTAGATCTCACTTTTTCAAGTGATCGTGAAGGGATTGATAAATCCTTTATCGCGTTGGGTGCAAGTTGTTGATTGTTTGTGCAGGTATTCGGTGACTTGTGCGTTGTCTCCTACTGGATTGATACCTTGGTTCTCAAAACTGAGGGAAATACTTACGCTACTTTTCTGCATCACCCTTTCCTCTTCAAGGGAAAACCAACGCAAGCTCAAGAGGTAGTAGGGATCAACAACCATATCAGTACTAGGTAGAAACTCTAAAGAAACAGACTTAAGTCTATTAATTACATCATGTATATAGTGATACCTTCCCTCAATATGTTTGATCTTGCTGTGGAACTTGGGATATCTGGAAACCTTTATTGCAGCCTGATTATCACAATACACCACCACTGGTTTGCTAGCACTTCCAACAATCTTCAAAGTTGAAAGAAATTCCTTCAGCCACACCGCCTCCTTCACAACTTCTGACGCAGCAATATACTCCGCCTCCATGGAAGATAATGCCACTGAATCTTGCTTCTTACTACTCCAAGATGTAGCGCCACCAGCTAATGTAAATAGATACCCAGACGTAGACTTCCGGTCATCCAGATCACCCTGCCAATCAGCATTAGTATAGCCCTGCAGCTGTAGATCCTTTTGTTTAAAACAGAGTGAATAATCCATTGTTCCTTGAACATAATGAAGAGCATGTTTAATTTGATTCCAATGCCCAATTCCTAGTTTCATTTGATATACTCAACACTCAGTAAAGCACGAACCAGGGCGTGTAATACATGGCATACATCAAAGATCCCAAGGCAGAAGCATATGGAGTCTCCTCCATTCTCTTCTTTTCCTCAAGAGTTTTAGGACACATCCCCTCACTGAGTTTAATTCCTACAGCCATGGGCACTAAAGCAGGCCTGCAGTTTTCCATAGAGAAACATTTAAGAACATATTTTAAATAATCCCTTTGAGACAAACCCAAAGTTCCTTTATTCCGATCTCTAAGTATTTCCACTCCTAGAACATAGGAAGCGTTTCCCATATCTTTCATTTCAAATGTTGAAGATAACCAAGTTTTAACTCCTATCAACATTTCCTTACTACTAGAAGCAATAAGTATATCATCAACATACAGTGACAAGAGTGTAAAATTTCCTCCCACTATTTAAAAAAATGCAATGATCTCCTTCCATCATAGAAAACCCATACGATGTGATAGCATCATCAAACGAAATATTCCATTAGGAGTGGAAATACTTAGAGATCGGAATAAAGGAACTTTGGGTTTGTCTCAAAGGAATTATTTAAAATATCATTTTGTCACTTTGAAAGATTACTGAACATGCGCAATTTGAGGCATCATTTGCTCATGGAAGAAGATAGGAAAACTTCACAAGGGAAAGAGACACACTCACGTCATCAGGAGTTGCACCTTGGTGAAGATAGGAGGCGTTGGCAGAAGAAGCCTCAAGGAGGTGATTTGAGGGACAAAATCAACCGGGAGAAAGACTGGGATGAGCATTAGGGTTTAGGGTTGAACCTTCTCAGATCATACACACACCCATAACTATAAAGGACTAGAGCAAGCAACCTTCTTCCTCCTCTAGCCCGAACAACTCAAGGAGCACCCTTGTACTAGCTATTGATCATAGTGATGCGGAGACCCCGCAGAGCAGGATCAGGGGTGTTATCTCCACGGAGAGCCCCGAACCTGGGTAAGATCCGACGTCGTTTACGGTCTTGCCTACTCCTGCTTCTAGAGCCCGGCAACGTTCTATTGACCCCATACATGATTAACCACCCGTTGGCATAGTCGAGGAAACACCACGACAAATACGGATGTATCAAGTCACGTTTTAATATTAGGTACATTCATATCTAGACAAATCTAAAACAAGAATTTTGAAACGGAGGGAGTATTATTTTATATTTTGGCTTACTAGTTTTTCGGAAAGGTGATGGATGAATTATTATTTTTGCACAACCTGACATATTTAGAATGTACTCGCACATTTACGTATATACTCCCTTCGACCCAAAACTCTTGTTTTAGATTTGCCTAGACACGGATATATCTAATACTAAAAGGTGACGTATCAAGTCACGTTTTCGTATTAGATACTCCCTCCATTTCAAAATATAAGAATATTTTTTACACTAGCATAATGTTAAAAACGTTTTTATATTTTGAGACGGATGGAGTATATCCGTATTTAGGCAAATGTAAGACAAAATTCTTGGGACGGAGGAAGTATGAAATTTGGAGAATGCTCTTTTCGCAAGCACGCCCGGCCCACACTAGTCTTTCCACTCGGCCTCTATCTTTAGCTAAGAAGGCCCAGATGAAGTGAAGGAACCGTGGGATCCCCACGGCGACCCAGCCAAATCCCCACGATTTCATCTCCTCCAAACCCAACCGCCGCCGCCGCCGCGCCGCCTGCTCCTCGTCGCCCCGCCATGCCGCCGCGGAAGCGCCCGCTGGAACCGTCCTCGGGCATGCCAGTCCAACCGGATGCCAAGCCCGTCATTTCTCCGGCCTCCAAATCCACCTCCGCCCCCGCCCCTGCCCCCGCTCCCGCCTCCGCCCCGGAGATCCTGCCTGCCTCCATCCTCAACAACCTCCCGGGGCCGGAGCGGGAGGTCTACAAGCGCATCTACGAGGCGGGCAACAAGGGAATGTGGAGCCAGGACATCCGCTACGCGATGAAGCTCGCCGCCCCGACTCTCACCAAGCTCACCCGCGCCCTCGTCCAGCGGGGTATCCTCAAGGAGGTCACCGATGTCCGCCACCGCGGGAAGAAGGTCTTCATGGACGCCCGCATCGAGCCCTCCCCCGAGATCACCGGCGGAACCTGGTATCACAACGGCCAGCTCGATACCGACGCCGTGGCGGCCGTGCGCCGCAGGTGCCTCGACCAGATTGACAGGCTCGGCGCTGCCACCCCGGACATGGTCCACAAGGGCGTCGAGAGGGAAGACCCCAGGGCAGGGTACGCTATCGATCAGATCAGGGACATCCTGCAGACCATGGCGCTAGACAGGGTGCTGGAGGAGTGCAGGAGCACCGGGGAGGGAGAGTTTAGCGCGGTCAGAGCCGGGAGGGTGTGCTACCGGCGGGGTGGTGCGCCGCAGGGCGGCATGATAGAAGGGATTCCATGTGGGGTTTGTCCCAGGATCGACGAGTGCTCGCCGGATGGGGTCATCTCGCCAACCACTTGTGTCTACTACAAGAAATGGCTGCAGATGGACTTCTAGGCAGTGAGCCCTCTTCGGCATGTGAATTGTGCTGGGATGGATCGGTGAATCGTCGTTAGTATACACTTGTGGGATTGCTGCACTTCCGATCATATGGTGTTGTTTTTGAGGTCTAGGATGTGGTAGTCATGCCAGGTGCATACCTTATTTGAGTATTTGTACTGATAATCAGTTACAGAGCTATTGTGTAATGTTTGCACTTTGCAGTTACTTTAGAAGTCTGTCCAATAACAACATACCAAATGCCTAATGGTACATATCTTAAATGGATTGAAAATTTGTCTTGCCAAGTGTTCAGTGCAGCTTCACAAACAGCTGCAGTACTGCAGCTGAAGCCCCCTATAATAGTCAAAATCATTATACGCCATGTCCCATGGTCGAATCCTATATTATCTGCATTGCTCAATTTAGTTGGGACTGTAAACTTCAACTAAAATTTGCTCAGGTCACAACTTTCATACTGTATGTTATATATTGTGTTAGTCTGCTTATGGCCAAGGTGTTTGTCCTAGTTGCTCACATATGATGTACAGGTATTGTGATCCACTTTCAGAACTCTATTGTTGTGCATTTAGTGAAGCCTTTTCTGGCCCAGATTTACAACACCTCACATTGGTTCTGGATGTTATTTGTGGGTGGCACTGCTAACTGGTTTTAGCTTCTGTTGATTTCGCTTCTTGTGTAATTGTTGGACTGTAAAGCAATTCAAGTGTTTATGGATGATATGCAGCGAGTCTATCTATTTTCGCTTCTTGTGTTATTGTTGGACTGTAAAGCAATTCAAGTGTTTATGGATGATATGTAGCGAGTCTATCTATTGATATAGATCCTTACCAATGTAATTAATGGATACTTTGTGCAATAATAAGACATAGGTTCAATACCTTTCTGTTTTGGATTGTTTAATGGTGGTCGGTTATGTAGTATTCACATAATTTGTTTGTCTATTATAATGGAAGGGTTCAGAAGTCTGGACTCAGGCCTGTCCCATTTCACTGCATGCCAATTGGTGGTCTACAGAACACTGGTATGAATTCTCTTACTAGCATACAATGACAGTCCATGATTGTTGATCCTTTAGTGTGTATCTCTCATCTACACTAGGAATGGTTTATCTGGTGTTTCTTCCATGTGGTTAGCTACTTATGATGTATGTGATCCCTATTCTTGATAGAATTCTAAATATAAGTTTGCTGCCACTTCTGTTAATTTGAATGACTTAATTTTCATGCATGCTTCACACATTATTAGTTGGCTTGACTAGCTGAAACAGTGAATGACAATTTGGAGTCAATTGTACAAGATCCATGTTCAAGCTACCTTAGTTATCAACCTCTCATTTGAGCTACCATGGACCTTATGTCTTTCTTTGTAAACCTGTGGATGAGCTTTTTACTATGAGATGCTTGGTTCTTGTGACCCTATGAGCTGTGTAAGCAAATAGGAAGAATCTTAGGAGACAACTCTTAGTTCTTCATGGAAGGGGATGTTCCTTTTTTCCTTCTAGGTGGATGTTGGATGTTTTAATTCAGTGCCAACTTCCACCCCAACCAAAATATGAAAAACTATGCTGCCACGAAATGGAACATTTGTTGGCTTAAGACTTGACAAGTGACAACCAGTACCGGGTCTTCTTTTGTTACTCCATTATCTGTTAATGCATACTTTTGATATTTATGCCAGTCGTGAATTGGAGCAAGTATTTCTCGTAAAACATGAACTGAACTATCAAAAGTTATGGTTTGATATTTCAAACGGCACGGATTCAGAATGAAACTTCAGCTGGAAAGGCTTAATGTCCTATGGGTATCTTGACAGACCATCCTTGCTTGTACCACAATTCGCAACTGTGCCATGGATGACATGGATTATGTACTTTTGCTTATCTTCATCTACATCATACTTTGAAAAGTGTGGAAAATGACTCTTTGAAAGAGAAGCCCTTATTTAAATAAAACTTAATAAAAAAGGTGGTGGCAGCGAGGTTATACTGTAATATTGGTTGACCTCAAACTACATTAAGTGTCATCATGCTAAAGACATTTAGGACTTGATATTAAGCAGAGTTGTGTAACACTTGGTCTTGTAGAGGTTTCTTATATTTCTGTCCCTCTATTATTCTGTCAACATAATTTTATAAAGTTTTATCTCCCATTTGTCAACTCAATGGAGGCTGGGTTGTGCCGGAGATAATGTATCAAAAGTAGAAAAGTGTTTTTATAACTTACCCTAGTAGAATAGTTTTCTACAATTGCTTTTGTTCTGTATGAACTAGAACCCAAAAATGAAACCAGTTTTCTTCACGCAGCAGAACGTTTTGGATATGTCAGGATAAGCTCAACAAATTATATAGAAGCCTGCACATGATAGCATTAAGCATTTCTTAGGAAAGGCAAGGTCTGGTCGTTTGTCTGTTCTTCTCAGCTTACCGCCATTGAGATGTCGCCCTAAACCGTATTTGCAGTTTGAATATTTATTTCTCAGGAATCGAACTAAAATGGAATTAGAAAGTGAAATAAGCCCCATTGGGGGTCCAGGCCAAGTCTTGGGACCCCTTGATCTTCAATTCTGCATCTCCAAGGATACGGGGGTTGACCAGTATCGACTTCATGATTTCTGCTAGTATCATTTGCTTTGCATGTGTGCATTAGATGTATATTATCTTTGTGTGCAATCATTTGCTTTACTCACATATCCCAAAGATATCTGCCCATACAAAAATTGCAACGCCAAGGCTAATAAGCTTCGTTCTCAGCTATCTGTTCTCTGCCATTGCAAGGTGTCTGTATTCCATGATATTCTTGTCGGACAGTTGACAGCTCCAAGCTATCCATTCACTGGTAGTCTAAGGGAACCTTATTTCCAGTTGAGTTTCTATGCTTGCTACACCTGTAGTAGTTGACTGGAAGTCTGAAACTTTGATATGCAACCTCAGAATTTAGTCGTGACTAAACACCTTTCTCTAGTTATGTAAAATGGTCGCTACGTGAAGGTGCAGTGTGATGATGAACTATGCACTATACATGTTGATGCTTTTGGATGCTCTATGTTTTGTTCTTTTGTAAAAAAAAATGCACAATGTGGTTGAATTTGAGTAAAAAAAGTTGTTGAAATGTTTGCAGTAGTAATGTCAACAGTTGAGTAAATATGTTGTTGATATGAGAGTTATATATGCAAAAGGACGAAATTTAACAAAGAAGTGTTTTTTAGAGGGAAAAAGTTTTATTGGGAGTAAAGTTCATGTCATGGGTTAGTTACCACTCTTTCAATACCCAGAAACTTTTTTGAGTTAAATTTTGGAGACAAATTAGACTTGCTCTTGGCTTTACCCAAGAACCTACGGCTGTGCTTGAGGCTCCCATGAGAGAACAATGCTGTTCGCGCTGGGTAGTTCCATCGAGTGAACGGTGCATTGCGTCCTTCAAGGACCACACACCCATCCCTTCCTTTTTCACAAAGAGAATCGCCATTCTACAACCAGAGAAACTTGCCATATGTTCAGGTTTTGCCATACTGTTGCCCTAGGTTCAGGTTTTGCCATACTGTGTACGAAGAGAATTGCCAGGCTATAGGTATTAGGTCATGACAAATGTTGAGCAGAGAAAAATTGCCATCCCATATGTTTAGGGGAATTGTCATGCTAGAAATAAGAGGATTGCCGTGGTGCAAAATAGAAAACTGCACATGTCCAGAAAATTACCATTTCACAACATAGAGAATTGTCATGCTATAAGATAGAAATTGTCATGTTACACTTAAAGAATTGTCGTGGTGCGCTGCCTAAATGTCAGGTAGCAGGTGAAAGCCTTTTGTAAGCACACCCGCAAGAAACTGCAGGAAGAAAAAACACCCGCAGGAAGAAAAGAAAAAACTGCAGGCGTCACATAGTATACTTTTTCCCCCAAAAGAAAATATGCAGCAGTTGGCAAAAGTCACCGGGGCCCGAATGCTTGGTCCCCTCCCTTCCCAGGTACGTTCTCGAGCAAGTTCTATTGTGGATGCTACCCCCGGTCGCATTCTGATTCTGCGTGCGAAACCTCGCGGATCCCTTTTGGAGCTTAACCCAAACCGGAAAGGCCACCTCAACCTCCGGGCAAGAGATCATTCATTTCAATGGCACCGCTTTTTCAAAATAGAAAGCGCCTACTAGTATCTTCCCGGAACCTTCAAAAGCGATTATTATTTTTATTAATTGCAACGTGCTAACCCCATCGCGACCCGGCTTCCCCCCTCCCTCCCTCCCTGTCTATCTATCCCTGCTGCGCACAACGCTTTCTTGCACGGCTTCGATTGTGTGCTCGCCTAGCCGAATCGGGTCACGCCCTACGTCCCCTGCTGCCCCCGCATTGTCAAACCGGGAGAAAGAGACGCCTATAGCTCAGAAACAATTACTAGTACAAGTTTACAACAACCCTGTCGCTGATAGAATCATTTACAATATCAGATGATGATGGGGGGAAGAGAAATGCGCGCCATGGCGGCGGCCGTGAGAGAGACGTCCTACGTTGCGCTTTCTACCTGCTGATGGTCTCCCTGGCGACGAAGCCGGCCGCCTGTAGGGTACGCGCGTACAGATTGAAGCAGCCCCGAAGGTACCCAAAAGGGCCCTGGCTTTTGGTGGTAAAAAATCGATCAAAACCACACTCATCTATGACGTTGACGCACGGTGTGTATGGCACGTTTTAACTTTTAACCCGCTCGTAGGTACGTGGTTCTTTCGAAGGTTTAGCCATCCGTGGTGCGTACGACAAATGTGTCGTTTTAAAAGAAGATACCGTGTCAAGAGTAGCTGGTATCTTAGATACAATTGGGCCATAAATTCACCTAACCTAATCAAACACCCCTATCTTGTCCAAGTTTCGACACTATCGATCAAGGCATAATTAAATAGTAGTGCTAGCTAGGAAGCGGAATGCCGTCGCAGGCAATGCAAGCGAAAAAACGTGTTCAAATCTCGCCATGCATGCATGCGCTAGCTCGTACAACGTCCGTCCTCCGAA